TTACCTTGTGTTTCAAAGAGAATTGAACAAGCCCAGGATTCACTTTCTCTAAACAAATACTGGCAAGACAAAGGTATCACAGCTATTCTAGGGACAAGCGGTTTGTTGAGGTGGAGAATGGTAAAGACTAGCAAGAAAAAAAGTCAATGTGTTTTTATCTGAAAAAAAAAGTTAATCCTTTTCACAACCTCATTTTCTTTGCTTTTGAGATAGCTCTCCTTTTTCATTTAAGTTTTCAAGTTTTTCAGCCAAAGGAAACAAGAAACCAAAGCATTTTCTTTGTTCCTGTCAAGTAGCTTGAACAGTTTGAGAACAGAAACCAGTCAGAGCAGTGTGATTAGCGTAGCCAATTAGGGTGGATTTGCATATTCACAACACGGTTATCGAGAAATAATTTTACAGAGATAATGCAAGTGTGACAATGCCTGTCTGCCTATCAGGGCACCCTGGCATCTGTGCTGTATGGTAATTGAGAAATAACCATCGAGCAATTCTGCAGATTGGGCACCCCAAGCCAATTCATGTGCCAGCACTACACAGCTGGGGAAGAGACTGCATTTGTAAGGCAGCAACCATACAGTACCTCTGCACACTGGAAAAGGTTAATCTACAGTCTATTTACCTAAAATGCAACAGCATCTGTCAAATGTGTTTGTTCTTCCAAGACTCATTCCAGCTACAACTTGTGCTAACTGCCAGTTCTGGGGGCCAGCCTCATCAGGAGTCTGGGGGACATGGCTTCTGATGAGATGGCAGTTGGCCAAGGACTGAGTGCCTCGCAGACCCTCCTGGCCTTCAGCTCAGACAGTGGTACACAGGCATGGTGGGGTGCTAGATGGTTCACTGCACAAGGTGTGTGCAGAAGGTGAGCTTTGTGAAATGGCTAAAGGATGTATGATAAAGCTCTGCTTTCTTCTGTCCCAACAGGCCTCCCACCAAGGTGTTATCCAGGGAGTAGACAAGAAAGCACAAAGCCCTTCAGGAAACCTTGTAGACTCTGTTGGGTAACAGACTGCGGTGGGTGATCATAGCTGCTTTATTATCTCTGAAAGTAAAAATCACCTTATATACTACAGTGACAACAATCCATGCTCCTTCTCACCATTTCTCTGCCTACCACCACTTGTCATCTTTTACCAGCAACTGCATGTCTACAAGTGTTCAGGTCATCATGACTGTGGCTGAGCAACTGGCACGCAGAGCCAGCTGTGCCCATGTAATTAATCTGCATCTTCAGGATGCTCTGTTTTCTTAGAAAGTGGCTAGCAAGTGATTGGCAATGTGTTGCATCTGTGCGTGCTGATTTTAGAAAGAGAGACAGTGATTTCTATCCTTAGTGCTCTTGACTTGGAAGGTAGATGCAGGGACTGTGAGAATGAAGACCCTAGGCCCACTGTAGGAGACGATCTGGTTCGTGACCATCTTAAGAACCTGAACATACACAAGTCCATGGGACCTGATGAAATCCATCTGCAGGTCCTGAAGGAGCTGGTGAATGAAGTTGCTAAGCCACTGGCCATCATATTTGAGAAATCATGAAAAGTCAGGTGAAGTTCCCGACAAGTGGAAAAAGGGAAATATAACCCCCATTTTCAAGAAGGGGAAAATGGATGACCCAGGGAATTACAGAGCAGTCAGTCTCACCTCTGTGCCTGGCAAAATCTTGGAGCAGATTCTCCTGGAAGGCATGCTAAGGCACATGAAAAACAACAAGGTGCTTGGTGACAGCCAGCATGGCTTCACTAAGGGGAAATCCTGCCTGACCAATTTGGTGGCCTTCTATGATGGGGCTACAGAACTGATGGACGGGGGAGAGCAGTTGATATCATCTACCTGGACTTGTGCAAAGCATTCAATACTGTCCCACACAACATCCTTGTCTCTAAATTGGAGAGACATCAATTTGATGGATGGACAACTCGGTGGGTAAAGAACTGGCTGGATGGCCGCACTCAAAGAGTTGTGGTCAATGGCTCAATGTCTGGCTGGAGACCAGTAACGAGTGGTGTCCCTCAGGGATCGGTGTTGGGACCGGTCATGTTCAACGTCTTTGTCAGTGACATGGACAGTGGGATTGAGTGCGCCCTTAGCAAATTTGCTGATGACACCAAGCTGTGTGGTTCGGTTGATACCCTGGAGGGAAGGAATGCCATCCAGAGAGACCTTGACACACTTGTGAGGTGGGCTGATGCCAACCTTATGAAGTTTAACCATGCCAAGTGCAAGGTCCTACACCTGGGTCGGAGCAATCCCAACAGCTACAGGTTGGGCAGAGAAGAGATTCAGAGCAGCCCTGTGGAGAAGGACTTGGGGGTGTTGGTCAATGAGAAAATGAGCCTGAGCCAGCTTCAGTGTGCGCTCACAGGCCAGAAAACCAACCATATCCTGGGCTGCATCAAAAGGAGCGTGACCAGCAGGATCCTGCCCCTCTGCTCTGCTCTCGTGAGACTTCGCTTGGAGCACTGTGTACAGTTCTGGTGTCCTCAACATAAAAAGGACATGGAACTGTTGGAACAACTTCAGAGGAGGGCCACGAGGATGATCAGGGGACTGGAGCACTTCCCGTATGAAGATAGGCTGAGAAAGTTGGAGCTGTTCAACCTGGAGAAGAGAAGGCTGCGTGGAGACCTCATAGCAGCCTTCCAGTATCTGAAAGGGGCTATAGCAATGCTGGGGATGGACTCTTCATTAGGGACTGTAGTGATAGGACAAGGGGTAACAGGTTAAAACTTAAGCAGGGGAAGTTTAGATTGGATATAAGGAAGAAGTTCTTTACTGTAAGGGTGGTGAGGCACTGGAATGGGTTGCCCAGGGAAGTTGTGAGTGCTCCATCCCTGGCGGTGTTTAAGGCCAGGTTGGACAGAGCCTTAGGTGACATGGTTTAGTGGGAAGTGTCCCTGCCCATGGCAGGGGGTTTGGAGCTAGATGATCTTCAGGTCCTTTCCAACCCTAACTGTTCTATGATTCTATGATTCTGTGACTTCTCTTCAGTACTGGGGGGTGAAGTCATGGTGCAAAATGGCCACAAATTGGATCTAGAGGGGCTCCCTGCATTGTTCTCCCAGGTACAATCGCACAAGCAATATTCACTTTCAAAACAGCTAAGGGAAAGGGAACAACACAAAAATTAATTTGTGGTACTCACTGCTACGAGATATTGAGTAAAACTTAACAAAATCCCTAAAATTAGACTGTAACACAAACTGTAAGTTTATAAACTGGTAACATCCACCAGGGTAAAGACTATGAGCTCTCCCCCTCCCTGCCACAAAGGCACATGAAGTGCATTTATCACAGAATCATAGAATGGTTTGAGTTGGAAAGGAGCTTAAAGATCATCTAGTTGCAATTCCACTGCCACGGGTATGGACATCTTCCATTAGGCCAGGTTTCTCAAAGCCCTGTCCAGTCTGTCCTTGGATCCTTACAGGGATGGGGCATCAACAATTTCTTCCCCATTTAGTTGAGAAGAAATGTTTCCCTCCAGGAAGATATATATTTTTTTTATAATCATCCATGATAGGGATTTTATATGTATCTCTGGAATATTCACTGCTGGTTTATGTAGTCCAGTAACTTACGTAAAATTTTTTTCTAGTGGTCTCAGTCTATGAGTAACCACAATTACCTCTTTCCCTCCTATCCCCTTTGTGGCATCAGCTCTTTATTAGAAAGTTAATAAACTTCGTGTATATTCTAAAGATAATATTGAAAACTGCAAAATTGTGTTCTGCATTTTATAATTGGTGTGGAAAAAGGGGGGAAATCTAATCCTATTGGGCCTTCTTTCTCTTTTGCGCTCTCTCTCTCTCCCTTTTTCCCTTTTGATAGTAAGCAGCAAATTTTAATTAGCTTCATTTCCACAATTCAGTCATGCATATGTAATCTTTGTTCACACTTTTATAAAGTAAAATTAAGTGAAAGAAATTGGGTAATAATACAAAGCTTGTCTGAGCAGAACAAATGTGAATTATCAAACATAAGGAAAAATGACTGGGACTACAGGCTTGAAGTTGTGCAAGGTTTGAGGTGATTCTTCTGAAACTGGAATGTATAAATAATGCGTAGAAACAGGTGCTGATTATCCTGTTTTGGGCATCTTTTGTTCATTATATACTTGGGCTGCTGAGGTACAGTGATAACCACTGAATGTGAGGAGACTGCTTAATAACAGCTTTCTAATGTTTCTCTTTTATCATGAGCTGAAAGTGTCACATGTGCTTGTCTAGTTAATAGAAATCACTTTGTGAACCCACTGTTCTTAGATTTGGTATTGGAGCAGATCACTGTAATGGCCTCTCTCTTGATTATAGCTGCAAAAGCTGTTCTGCCATTTTGCAGTGTAATGTAAAGGTTTCCTAATCCATATACACACCTTCTAATTAAATGTTTCCAGGGGTTACCTTGGGAGCCTTCAGTGGTATGGTTTGAAACTAAAACTAAAGAGTGCATTAAATTCATTCTCCCTCGGGTGAGACAGGAGCAGGAAGTCCATTTTCAGCCCCTGCTACTTTGGATTACTTAAAAGCACGAACATGATCTGGATTACTTACTTTATTCTTTTTGTTATCTAACACAAGAAGATAGAAAATTAAAGGGAGACAATGGATGTGTCTAAATCTAGAGCTCATCTTATTTTATAACTTATGAGAAGTCTTTTTAAAGTCTAACCAGTTATTTTAAGAAGCTACCAGTTCAGCAGCAGCAACTGAAAACCAGAAGCTCCTGATGATGTAAATCAGTCCGTGGCTTGCACAAGCTGTGTAGCAAATAATGCTGTGACAGATACTGAGGTCTTCATTAAAGGAAAGGTAAAGTAGTGAAGCACGTTGGCATATGGAAGTCTGAAGCCCAGTTAATATTCAGCCTGACCCCACCAACCTAATCTATCCCTGAGAAGGAGCTCTTATTACAGGAAGTGCATTTCAAACATGGGTGGCTTGTGCCAAGATTTAGGTTAATGGTTAACAGAGAAGCTATAACCACGCAGAAACTCTGACTTCCTCCTCCTGGGGCAGGGACCAAAAGGTGCCTTTGCTTGCAGAGGAAGAGGCAAATGTTGAGAGAAGAGCAGTTCAGACCACAGAGGGCTGGAGAACAGCAGCTTCACTTAGTGGAGAAAGGACAAAAATCCAACAGGAGCAGGAGATGTTTGCCATAGAAATAGGTAAGATCTGAAACACTTTCATGCTTGGCTCACTGACTCATTGGCTGCTGCTAACAAAACCCACAGGTGTGGCTAATTGAGACAGGTTTGTTTTGCCTGACTGCTTTAACCTGTGCATTGCAGTGAGAGGGGCAAAGCAAGAAAGGATCCATTTGCTGTGAATCTGAACATCAGATTGGGCAGAAGGCTTTTTCTCTCTCCTATTCCACCCAAGGGGCTTCTCATGGCAGGACGGACATCCTCTTTAGACTGTTCTGATCTCATTGACCACAGCCACATCCCTGAGTTTGAAGTGTCTCCTTGGATTAAGATCACTTTGGCCTCCGTGTATGTCTGCATCTTTGTTGCGGGCATCCTGGGCAACAGCATCACCATCAAGGCCACCAGGATCCTGCAGAAGAAGGGCTACCTGCAGAAAGAGGTCACAGACCACATGGTGAGCCTGGCCTGCTCTGATCTGCTGGTCATCCTGCTGGGTATGCCCATGGAGTTCTTCAGTGCCATCTGGAGCCCCTTTTCTACTCCCAATGGCAATGTGGCTTGCAAGCTCTACTACTTCCTCTTTGAAGCCTGCAGTTATGCCACTGTGCTGCATGTAGCCACACTCAGCTTTGAGAGGTATGTGGCTATCTGCCACCCCTTTAAGTTCAAGGCCGTCTCTGGACCCCGCAAGGTGAAGCTGCTCATCGCTTTTGTCTGGGGGATGTCTGTCATAGTGGCTCTGCCTCTGCTCTTTGCCATGGGCACAGAATACCCCCTGGAAGCTATTGAGGGCTACCAAGGTATGACTGCCTGTGACAAGCCTATGCCCAGGCACCACCTTCCTGATCTGAAACACAATATGACCATCTGTACCAGCCTCTCCTCCAAGTGGTCTGTCTTTCAGGCCAGCATCTTCAGTGCCTTTGCTGTGTACATCATAGTTTTGGGATCTGTCACATTTATGTGCCACAGCATGATGAAGACCCTGATGATCCACAAGAAAGGAACTGTGGCTGTGAAGGGTGGACTAAAACACCAGGAACAGTACCTAAGAAAAAGTGAGAGCTCGGAGGGCAAGAGCTCCAGGAGACAGATAATTTTATTCCTGGGTAAGAGCTTTGTGTTACTCTGCCTCCCCTCCCCTGCCCCCTTTCCACATGGGCAGGAACCCCAGAAGCCTCCATTTTAGCTCACCACGTTTCCCCAAATGGGGGATATATGTTTTAAAACTGAGGCAAAATGATGGAGAGAAATACTTTGGTTGCAATGGTATGTTTTTAAGAAACTGATTTCCCTGTGTGTTTTTGACCCATTTTTTTTTGCTGTTAGGTGGGAGGGAATAAGTAGGAAAATTCAATTTGCTCTCTGCTCTTTATGTTGTTTGATTATCCTGCATGCCTACATGCAGCAATATGGGTAATAGGGTGTTGCTGCTTGATCTTTGAGGTAGTAATAGGCAATGGTTGCCTGGATATAAAGTAGCTCTACTTGTACATTTTCCTATTAAATTACAAATACGTGCATACTTAGTAAAGTATTGTTGCATATCAAGAGACTTAGTAGTCTCTTGATAGGAGGGAAGAGTGTCTTGCAAGATCTGAAGTTTGTCCCACCCACAGGGCATGTCGCTGTTAATTCAGGATGCTCCCTGGAGGGTACTTACATAGTCTCAGCAATTGTGGCTGTGGATGTGTTGCATCCAGGCATTAAGAAAGCTGGGCTGGAGAATTGATTTGGTCTTGCAAATTGCTGTTGCCCTCTTCGAATATTTTTTTTTCCTGGTTTTATTTGAAGGCCTTGGAATTATGTTTGATTCTGATCTCTCTTGCCACATTTGTCAGGCAAAAACTAATCAAGCTGTCATTTCACCAACTTGAATCTTTCTGGGCTGTGATCCATGCAGTCTCCACATTTGTTGATGCTTTTAGAAGCACCCTTAATCATGCCCTGGCTGCATTACTGCTAGTTCCTGTTTTGTTGGGTTGCTTAATAAGATATTGGATATAATAAATGAACTACCTAGAGTGTGAATGCAGAGTAGACCTAGTATTTCAGTGATGCTTTTTTAGTGTTCTGCTTGATATTGCAGAGGCAGAATTGAAACTTGTGGGTCTGTCCACTTCTAGCTTTATGTAGATATTTTAAGACTTCTATTTCGAGCATTCTCTGGTTCCTTGTCTAGTCTTGCTTTTTCATGCATGGCTGTGACATGAAGCTGCAGGCTAATGAGCTCAGGTTGCACCTAGCTCCTTTTCTGCTCCACCTGTGCTAGAGCTGGGAACATGATGAACACTTGTCATACAGACAAGGCATATGACTTAAAGATTTGGGGAAAAGGTGGAGTTGCTATTGACAAAGGTTTCAAATGGGACATGTGATGCTCCAAGCTGTACAGAGCTTTTCCTTATCCTGTACTGAAAGTACTGATTTCTGGGGTAGAGGCTTAGCAGCAAATGCTAAATACAGCATGTTGCACAAAGTGAAAAAAGAGATAAGGCTCTGCTCTGAGTGCTGCTGCAGGATCCTTAAATGTCTGGATCTCTCTCCCCTTGTAAAATTATCATCCAGATCTGCATTAAAGCTCAGTCTATGATCCCAATCCTGTAGCAAGCTCTAGCCAGGCTGAGAGGTGAAGGTAAATTTCCTTAGCTTTTCTTCCCCTTCTTGATTATTATTCTTGCTTGGTGATGGTTTAGCATGGAATAGGGCTGACCTAGTGCTGCTTGCAGGAGTGTTAAAAGCTAAGTGAAGGCAATTGGCTTGTGCTTTATCTTAAGGGAATTTGCTGTCAATATGTGACACTTCCTCTGTGCTCTAGCTTTCTGGAGCGAGTAGATACTTCCGTGAATTCTTCAAAATCATTTCAGTGGCAAGATTTTTAATACAAGTCTTGCTAATTTACTTGGGTTGGGAAATAATAAACTGAGGAGGAAGAAACTGTGGCCTGCATCCTTAAGAACAATGCGAAGCAATTTAATTTGGAGATTTCATAAGAGTGATGCTTTAGGGAAGTTTTGACTCAGAAGAAATGAATATATAGATTGGTTACAAATTGCTGAATTTATATATAGTGATTTAGAAGTCCTCTTTGTTTTTCATTCAACAGATGGGTCAAATTAAAACAAATACTTGCACATTCCCAATGTATTTCACTTTTAATGTGAAATGTAAATGTCAGTATGTAGCAGGATGTCTTTGAACATCTAACAGCAATAAAAACAATTTAGCATTTTCTTCTTCTAGCTGTTAAAATTGTCAAGTTCTATAAAATGGAGATTAAATTCATAAATCTCCTGACGATGAGAAAAAGCTAAGTAGAAACACAAGAAGGAGCTGGTGTTTTTTTTAGTGTCATGTTCCTGTGTGGCACTTGAAATAATCATGAATATGAATTGTAAATGTTGAAAGACTACTTGCCATAGGTAGTAGGTACACTTGCAGAAGGGGGTCCAGCTGGGGTGACACCACTGCTATGATGGAGGAAGGTGACAAGGGGCCAAGGGATAGAGCTCCACCATGCTATGCTGGTCTAGGCCCATGTGGGGAAGAGCTTTTGTCCAAGGAAGGTAGCTGCAAGGTTCAAGTATTTCATCATAAAGCCCAGAGGGTCTGTTTGTGGATTTGAAGTTGTTGATGTAGAGATGTCAGTTCCTTCTGACTACCTTGCTACACACACACTGGAGAGGAGGGTCTGGCCCAGTGGCTGCACTAAAAGCTCTATGCATGGTGCTGATGGTTTGGATACTTCCAGGGGCTGTTCAGCTCAAATTTTGGTAGATTTGCTCCAGTTTAGGAATGCAACTTTGTCTCAGTGTTTTGGAGAAAATCAGTTCTGTTTTTATCAAGTAGTTTGTGAAGTCCTGTTCCTTCCAACTTCCTTCCCACTTGCTGTTGCCTTCAAGAAAAACATGATAGTACATGCAAGTCTGCTTAATGGTCCTGCTCCAGAAATGAGGCCTTTTGAGCTTTTGCATAGACTGGGGCATAATTCCTGCAATCTGGGTGTGTGTGAGATTTATTTAATCACCTTCTGAGTCATATGGTAAAACTCCACTTCCCTAGTGGGTCAGCCCATCCACACAAGCAGCATAGATCAGACTGGTTGATACTGTCTGGGTTACCTATATGTTTGTTGTTAAAGTAGATTTACTTATGCTGGGATAGCAGAGCTTTCTTCTAGTAAAGGTCTACATGGGTCTCTCTGAGTATGACCTGCTATGAATAGCAGGAAAAATCTAGCTGAACTTAAGTTTTTGAGTGGTTCATAACAGCACTTGTTAATAAAAGTTTCCCTACCGTGGCAGCAGAAATTAATGGCTGCAGTGCTTATGAAAACACGTGGCGGATGGCACTTTGAAACACAAGCTTTTCACAGTATTTAAAATCTCCTAATGTGCAGCCCACCCTGACAGGGATTACTTCAATCTTTGTGGCTATTCAATCTTGTCTTTCTCATGTGGCTGTAAGAGGCAGGGCAGTGATCAGAGGGGCTACCTAAATGGTCATAAGGTGCCACTAGGGACCTCTTGCTTCTCCAGCAGCTGAGCTGAGGCCTTTGCCAACATAGAAATGAGCTTTTAAGAAAGGTGAGTTTGGAGATTTATATGTATTAATATATATAAGTGGGTTACAGCCAACAAAGGAGAATGTCATGGAAGGATTATGTAAAAGATATCAAACTCCAACTATTGCAGTAATCATAAATGTTACAAACTTCTCATAGCTGAAGCTATGCAAGTTAAAAACCTTTAGGAAATGTTAACGGGTGGCCTGGTCACTGGGAGAGGGGAGCAGTATGGCACGCGCCTCCTTGCAAGCTACTGGTGGGATGGGCCTCAGCACAAGTGGCTCCATGGCAGCAGTGGCTGCTCACTGGCCATGGCTATGCCCTTCTTAATCTCGTCAATTATATAATGTAACACTTATACAAAAGCAGTTGTAGGGTTTGTCATCAGACTAGATCTAACTGAACTGAACTTGTACTCTACAATGAAATGAGTTTTGACTACCCCAGCTGAAAAATGTATTGCTTCTACAGCTTCTGTTATTCCCCTTGGCAGATTCAGTTTTGCTCTTCCACTAAAAAGACTTAATTATTTTGTATAAAACAATCTCAAGCCCCCCCATAGTAAATACGTTGAAATAAAAAAGTCCTTCAGTGTTACTACATCCTCTGCTTTTCTTTGTATACACTTCCAGTTTGCCCTTTGGAGCAATACTCTTCTGTTTGCACAGCAGGGGGGTCCCACTGCATGGGGCTCCTGGGCACTGTGGGTGCTTTGGTGTTTGCCAGTTGGCATCTGGTCGGTGCTTTTTTGTCTCCTGGCCATGATGAAATATCCATCCATCCTGAGCTCTTCCTTCCAGGAAAGAGAAATATCAAAGTAATCTGGCTGCTGTGAGATTGTTGAGGTGGATGCGCTAAAGCACTGCTGTAACTGTGTCAGTTGGCAAGAGCCAGAGTTGCAGCTGGACTTACATAACTGGAGAACCTGCTGATACCAGCGCAGCACTGTCGGCTCCCCCATGCCAAGCAGAACAGATAATTCTCCCTGCTGTCTCTTTCCCATCACTACAGTACTGAAGCTTTTCTGCTGTAGGACCTTCTGATGTAAGATTAATTTTACCTGCATGCCTGGACAGCAAATATCCTACAACTTCTTTATTGAACATGGAAGGGCTTATCAGAATCTATGGCACTGCCTTCATCTTAAGCAAGACAGTGGAGTTTTTTCTTTTATTTTTCTTTGGTCTAACACTTCAGTATGTCAAATACACTGAGAGTCGGCCTGAAGACAGTAGCAGTGATGGTTTCATGTGATGTGGTATAGTACATGTAGGTTCAGGTCTGGTCTACTTTACGGAACAATAGCTGCTAGAGGCTTTACTGAGACTCTGCCAAGTGCCGTAGAGGGAGAGTTCCTGCCTCTACATCCACATAAAAAAGGCAGAAGGTAAGGGCTGGAAAAGCTAGACAGAAAGAGGTCAGTGACCTGACCAAGGCCACAAATGCTGTGGAGAGTCACAAATGCATCTGCTGAATCTTGTGCTAGTGCCTTGTCTTCTGATAAAATTTTGACTTGGAAATTAAAAAAACCTTTTAGAACTT